CATTCCATTTCTGAATCATTGATTTTATGATTATGCGGTTTGCTCGAATTTCGTTGAATTCCATTTTAACATCACGTCACTGGTTTCCTACAGTTATGCATTCCCATGGCCTCAAGTGTCTCATTTTGGGGATACTCTCAATGTCTTCGAGCATTGAGGTTTCGATTTCTCACTAGTCTGTTTTCAATTATTCGCATACTAATAAGCTCAGTAATTGCTGCATAACTCATCATTTTGTAGAGATGTTGTGATGAACACATTGTCCACAGCTCTAATTGTTTACGCAGTCTTCTCTCTTACATTTCGATTTCAATGATCTCGTTTTCCTAGTAAATGAGTGTGGCGGCGCTAATGATTCTTTGACTTTCCTCTACTTCATAAGTTCTGCTGTGAAATTGTATCAGCTGAAGTGAATTATTTCATGGTGACTTGATCTTGCCGGAGAAAATGTTATTTTCTGAAATGATACTTATTCGATTTGTGTGTCGCTCTCAATTGAGTATGTAGCGGTTTTCACGTGAAAGTAGTGAGGTTTACAAAAAATTGGGGGTAAAGAGAAGGAAAGTTCTCCTGAGGTATGGGTATCAAAAAAGGTTATTCAAAAACCATTGTCTGCATAAGAATTTAGCAGCCTTTTTCTTAATTCAATAAAAACTCAAACAAATGTCATCACATCGTAGTAATCGGTAGCTGCCCGAAAAACTACGTGGGTGGGGTAGAGACACGAATTTTTTCTCCAAATATAGAGGTGTTAAGTTAGCATCGTTGCCCGACAAAAATTTTTGTCCTTCGAATTTTTGATAAATTTTCCTAAAACCATCCCAGTTCCTCTCCCCCTCCTCAGTCTACCATTAGTTATTATGTATGTACCACACTTCTATTTCGCCGAGTTTCGTCAATCTTCGAGAAACTTCGAATCATCATATTTTCTTGCAGAGTTCTCAACCCTTGAAAGATCTGCTGACAAATCCTGGCTCCAATCAGCCGTCGCAGCTACGATCCGATCGAGATTTGGTCTTGCGCCAGAGGGCGCGAATTGCAATTCGACACTGCAACCGTGGAGGCGTCATCGTTCACTATGCGAATAGGTGATCTGAAACGAGCCGTCGAAGATGTGATACTTAGGCCGGATCAAAACACTTTGAACGATATCGATAAACGCGATACCATAGCTGCGCTGGATTTATGTCAGGTTGGAGAATTTTTACCAGAAAAATAAATTAAGATCCAAAGTCAAAACGCCAGTTTTAGCCAGAACCATCACCACCACTGCCAACATGCACACCATCGGCTGCTTCAATGAATGCTTGCTCGTGTTCCAGTGAAACTGTACCAGTGGATGTACCACGTCCACCGCCTCCACTTTGCACTAGCACAAGTCTTGATACGATAGTAAGCATTACACTACAATTATATTTTTTTACTCTTGTCTTTGTAAGGGGCGGTCTGCAGTACCGAGGTTCCTAATGCTTGCAATATATCGAAGCTCAAAGTCGAGTTTCAGGATAGATAAAATTATAAGTGCTCAATAAGATATCTACGAATTTTGGCTTTCCTAAGAAAAACAATCTTGAAT